TAAGCATTACGCCAATATTAATGAATTACATTTATTTCCCATTTTTGTAAAGAAAATTACTGTATTATTTACACAGTATTTTTTTCTGCTTTCTTAAATTACATACAAATCTATGTAAAATGACAGTAATGATCTGTAATTAAAAATGTAGCTTGTTATTATAAAGGTTAATGTCCACACTAACAATTTAGAGATCTTCTCTGTAATTTCAGGGTAAATCTTATTAGTTTGACATTTATGTGACTTCTACATTCAAACTTTGTGATTCTGGATGAAATAAAACAAACTTTTTTTCATCACATCAAACATTCAAACTTCAAACAAAAAAGTTACTGGAATGTATCCCAGCATGCACTGGGAGGAAAGAAGGTAAATGGTTTATCACACAACAACACACAAACACACACAAACACACACACACACACACACACACACACACACACACACACACACACATGTGCGTGCGTGCGTGTGTGTCAAGTGGCAAACTGTCGTGACGTTACCCATTGGTTTGTGAACTGCCGTTTTGAAGCCTCGAGTTTGGCTTCATGGACGTCGCCATCTTGGTTTTTTGGCGCCAGAAGAAACCATATTTGGATGAGAGGGTGGAGCTGGGGAGGAGGGAGGGGGGGATCTGACCTGTGTCCTCGAGGACACCAAGTACACCCACCTGCATCGGCAACCTGACAGCAACAGGCTCCTGGCTGAGCCGTGCAAAGATGCTGCTAACACGGTTAGCTGTCTCAACTGTTACATTAGTCTTACAGGCAAATATCATATATGTGAGGAGTAACTTGTAATGTTATTGTAGCTGAAGTTAGCATGTGTGCTAACGTTAAACTGTAAAACCAGTGTAAAACGTATTCTAACACTGAGACTGATGATGAATAACGGCTCCTGGACTTTTTGCACCTTCCCTCCATCACTTATGGACGGCTGCAACAGCTTCCAGTCAACCTGTCAGACTGTTGCTCTGTCCTCACTGAGCTATGAAGTATTATTTTACATCTCTACTATAATTTATACTTGTTACTAAATAAGATTTATCCACCTCTTTATGATGCAGACTTGTCTTGTGAGAGTGAAGTTCACCTGTACCTTCATTCACAACTGTATTCTATGTTTAATTTGTCAGTTACAGTTGATTGTAAATTGTTGAAATTAATGCAGTTTTAATGTGAAATAAAGTTTCTTATGAAGCTTTGCTTTGTTGATGGTTTTTATGGAGGGTGTCTGGTATGAATTTTAACAGTAGCAGCAGCACAGTATAGAAATCACAACACATTGAATCTGTAATTAATCAAAGACTTTCTACGTTGCTTTAATCAACAACAAACATGATAGAAATGTTTAAATGTGTCCGTCCTTCAACAGTGACAATACAGGATCTAGAGACAGATACTAGAGTTTGTGCTTTTCTAATTTGTCTTATGAACTTATCAATTTTAATAACAATGAAAACACTAATTCACCAAAGTGACTGTTAGATTCATCATGAGGCAGATGGTAAATATGAAGAAACATTCAGTACAATTTAATCACAGGTTTATTTATTAAACACCTTTTCAGTTCTGAATAAAACTAATGTACATGAGCTGTACTACACTGACAACTGCTTCACAATCTGAACTGTCAATGTTCAGTTCACACTAAAGAGTGTGTGAGGTGAACACATCCGTCTCTGAGGTCACAGCGTCACATCTATGAAGAGTCTGGTCATCCTGGAAAGCCAACATTGGTAACCCAGGCAACTGTTTCAGAAGCAGCAGCAGCTTCTTTGTCACCTGGAGGGAGAGAGAGAGAGAGAGAGAGAGAGAGAGAGAGAGAGAGAGAGAAAGGTTTCACATGTTAATATTTGTGTGTGAATTTAGAACAAACACAGCAGTGGTGTGAAAGCAGCTGTAAGAACATCAACTGCCTGAATCACACCTCATCCTAGAGAAACTCCCTGGTGGGAAAGAAAACTAGAGATGGCTGTTGGACAGATCAATCAGTTAGACACACAGTGCATTTAGAAAGTTCTCACTTTTTTTACATTGTGTTATTTTGAATAAGCTTATAGATCGTTAAATTCATTCATCGATGAACAAAATAATCAGTTCATGCAACTTTAAATGGCTTATTCTTCTGCTGGATTTCAGAACATTTCCTGTGACAGAAGATCTTTCATTCCAGATGTGCTTCGTCATCTTTGACTACACACTCTCACCTTCTGTTTAAACATGATGAGTGTCAGTGCTGGAGAAAAACAGCTGTACTTAAAAAGTGACATGGACAAAGTGCTGACAGTTTCCCAGGCTTCTTCTTCCAAACCGACCTTCACCTTCCTCTAACGATGGCGCTAATATCAATCAATCTTTTCAAAGCCTCTCACAGAGAACCTTTTTTTTTCCGATGAGAGCTTTTTCATACGGCTTGTGTCGCACCATTAGCATTCCTGCAGAGCTCATCTATGGTAGGGTTTACTCTGGCAGAGAGCCATGATTCAAAACCACCAGCCTCTGTGTTTGAGATACAGTTGTACCTGTGGGGGCGCATTTGCCAAGACAATTAGGGGATGTAATCTGACTCACATGCCTCGCTATGGGCCATATACAGAAAACAGTAAAGCATAGAGCTGCTGCTGTCAGAACATAAAAGCAAACTCAACTTGAGAGTAGTTTTTCCATGCAGGATAATCACTGGCTTTTACCTGTTAATTGTAGTAATCCAGCTAACCTCCTATCAGAGAGTTATTATAGAGGTTGATTTGTTGTATATCCACCTACAACTGTGAGGAGTCTGTCTCTTTGGTTCAGCCAACCTGAGGAGGAGTAGAAGAAAAAAAGTCTGGTTGATCTGGGATCAGATCTTGAAGAGGTTATCTCAGCTCTCGGCGTCTTGCTTCAGCTTGTCCCCGGCAGGTCGTCTGCCTGTGCGTAACATATGTTTATGGAATTTGATTAATTAGAGGTTTGAGTTGGCAGCTGAATCTTGACATAAAGATTACAACTTTGCCACAAAAAAGAGCCCCCCCGCCCCGACCTCACCTGTTATCAGTCATGTATGTGTATCCAGTGACATTTCACACATGTTGTGGGATCACACTACAACACATCAAGACAGGATGAAGGTGAATATGAAACTACAGAGGCAAAAACTCCCGCAGCACTTGAAGTGTGAAGAACTTTATTGTCTGACTGACGCGTTTCAGCTTGTTGATCGTGGTCTTCATGAAGGACCCTGATGAAGCCTGCAGACATTCACGTTCACAAAAGATGACGCTGTACAAAAGCGCCAATGGTAAGAAAAGAAGAGAAGAGGTGGAGAAATCCATGTGACACAGATACAGGAAATGATTGTAAGTGCATCATCTCCTTTCTGAACTGTCTCTGCTTTAGTGTAGCATAAAGACTGGAGTAAGGGAAACAGCTAGCTCGGCTCTGAGTGAAGCTCAGCAGCATCTGTAAAGCTGACTGATGAACTCATCTCGATTTAATCCACACAACAACACAGAGAGGTCAAACAACACTGGTTGTAACGCATCATTCACTCCATGATAAGTTGTATTTACATTGTGATTCGTCACCGGAGTTCCTCAAACCCCACAGGGGCAGCAGCAGCGGACTTAAACGTCTGCTGCAGTGCACCGTGGGTAATGAATCAGATTACATATGTTATCATATGTCTGGAAGATGGAGAATCTGCTGCTGCTTCATGTAGCAGTGAGAATTATCTCCATAAATCACACAGATCTGTTTCTGCAGGACGGAGTGTGTATGTGTGGAAACAACTGAGACAAATGGAAAATGATATGAGCACATTTCTGTTGATAAAGAGTATAACACTGTCTGTTCAGTCAGTATTGGTACATAAGAGTCAAATTTATCAGCACACGCTGTAAATAACATCTGGATCCCAAACTCAAATGTTGTGTTTATCTAGAAGTAGCAGGGCGCCCTCTAGTGGACAAACACCTCCGGTACTTCTGACCAAACAGTCTCACCTCCAGGTCCATTTAGCAGCTGTTCTGGAGCTTTTGATCATTTGACATTTTAAATTCATAAAAGAAAAGAAAAATTATTTCAAAATTTAAAAAAAAATAACAACCTATTTGTCATAAAGAGTAACATTTTACACTGTCTAATTAAATTTGTTAATTATTTTTAAACAGATTTAAACCTACAAATCATCAGTTGCATCATGGGAACTGTAGGATCCAGTGTTTTTATTGTTTGATCCACACTGCAGACTAAAAACAAACACACTTTGGCGTCTAATGCATCTTTTTTTGACTGTTCTTCTTCTTTAATGTGTCTCTTCTGAGCCCCTCAACTGTATAGAAGTGCAACATTAAACCACTGGAGTTCTTATAATGGGTTAGAATGAATGATGGGTCATATACACAAACAAAACCACCCATTCATTGATTTGTAACAAGTAATTAATTCACTCATTAAAAAACAAACAAACTTTTTATTAGAAGAAACTGTTTCTTCACAGCGTGTCGGCAGTCTGGTTTAAATGCAACAGGTTGAGACATGTACAGGTTTGTACCACTAGATGTCACTGTTTGATGTCACAGTGTGACGGATGAGCGACAGTGTAAACGTATTCAAACACGATGATCCTGATGAGATGATATATGTCAAATTATTTTAAATAATAAATAATATTTAAAATTAATGAGCTGAAATAAATTACTGTGAAAAACTGTAACTGTCCAGAGGAACACGGGATAATATGATTATATGAAATATGTGAAATAATGTGATTTATATTTTATTCTGCACATGAATGTATTAATTATTAATAATTTAAGCATCCTATGAAACAGGAGGGAGGCAGAAAAACATATTTCTGCTACAAAAAATGTAATTACATTTTTTTTCTGTCGTTTTTTTGTAGAATTTTTTGTCCTTTTTACTAAATGAATTGATTAATTAATTTATAAATGTTTTGTATATTTAATTTTTTTTTATTTTTACCCCAAAAAAGTTTTTGGGTAAAAAAAAGAAAAAAAAAGAAAAAGTTTTTGTAATTTCTTTGGGTTTTTCAAAAAGATTCATAAAACAAAGCAGAACAAACAGCTCTTTGGTTTTAACCTGCAGACAAAAGCTCGCAGTGTTCACATGAGGTGACGAGATGTCACTGTTTTAAAGGCTCACCAGCCGAAAAGGTTGTGAATCATCAAGTCTAAACAAATTTTCCACCGTAACAAGAATAAAGAAGAATACTGAACATTTGGATTTGCTACAAAATCTTGTGTCTATAAAGTGCAAGATAATCAATATCATCTATCACCTTCAAACACCTGCATGAGTCTAACTAACCGGAGTTTACATTACACTTAGTGGCACTCGAACACAACCCGGAAAGAAGACGTCTCTTCACGTGGACGCTGAGACGTCTACTCTCCTCGATATACGACCACGTTCTTGTCGGTCTCATAGATCTTAATCTCGTAGAGCAGGCCGGGCGGGAGGACCTTCGCCATGTTGTCCCAAATGTAAACAGCCACGTTCTCAGTTGTGCTGATGGACGGAGAGAAAGGAAGAAAGTCATCAGGACACAAACACACACATGTAATTCTGCTGTCGACATCAACTGAGAACGATACTCACCTGACAATGCTGGCAAAGTAAGGGACGTCCTTATCCAGGTTCTTATGGTCCAGTGGAGTCATGATGACGTCCTGCAGGATCAGTCAGTCAGCCAGTCAGTCAGTCTCAGAATAACACTTGAAATAAACCATCAAGTACAACAGAGGAACATGAAACTCGCACAGAGTCGAGAGCTGAAACACAGAACTTGTAAGTGTCAGTGTTCAGGCGTCAGTAACCTGGAGGACAAGTGTGTGTGTGTGTGTGTGTGTGACATTGATCAACTGTGACAATAATGTAAATGTTGCACCTTCCTGAAATTTCAATCTGTACAAAAAGCCTGTGTTTTTCTTGCTCGAGGCTTGAACGCGATGAGACAGTGTTGTTGAGAGGATCTCACCTCGATGCATCTCTTCAAGTCCGTCAGGTTCATGACCATCCCAGTGAGACGATCGATCTGTACGGACCAACACAGGAGGAAGGTTAAACATCTGCTTAGGATTGTGATTGTGATTGTGATTGTGTGTGTGTGTGTGTGTGTGTGTGTGTGTGTGTGTGTGTGTGTGTGAGTGTGAGACTCTGTCTAAATCTTGAAAATCCTTCATCTGCTTTGGTAAATGGGTCATTTTCTATTATTTATGAATTGGAGTATATTTTTGGAAAATCAGTTAATTCATTGAAACGCAGTAGAACGTCCTGCAGAACAAAACTGATACCAAAATCTGCTGAATCCTGAATTCTTCATTTATTTATTTTTTGTTTCTCGGATACTACACCTAAAATATCAGCATCAGCATCCCACAAAAAAAAAAAAACAACACCCCAAACTGTGTGTAAAGTATATTTCAGATCACTGAAACCAAAATTCAGTGGAGAAGCTGGTGATGAAACCGGACACTCACCTTCCCACGAACTGTCACCTCCACTGTGGACAGAGAGGAGAGCAGTGAATGAGTGGGAGACATTAAACAGCAGCTGTACAGTGTTTCACTCTATGATGTAATCACACAACAGGTGAATCAAACCTTTGTAGTTGTGTCCGTGTCCATTGGGATTGTTGCATTTTCCATAGACGCGTTTATTCTCCTCGTCACTCAGGTGAACGCTGAAACAGACACCAGGTGTGTGAGCAGCGAACCTGTCTCTGTGTTTTCATTCATGTTCTGGATCCATGATTTCACAAGTCAAACAAGGAAAATGTGCCAAGGGTTTATTGACACGTGCTGCCTTCAGGTACATCAGGTACTCTCAAGCTTCTCATGTCAGTCAGTTTTTAACACAAAATGTACATGTAACTATTTTGATTATTGGTTATTTTTTAAAAGTTGTTTTTTCAATCTTGAAACATTCTCTGGTTTCAGTGACTCACGTCTGAGGATTTGTGTTTTATATGATTAAATAGAATATATTCAGGTATTGGACTCTGGGAACGTTTGGTCGGTATTTGTCAAAAGTTTCTTTTACATTTTATAGATCAAACTATTAATTGAGAAATATTACAGATTCATTGATAATGAAAATTAGTATTACTTGCAGCCATAAAAAGGAGTTTATTAATGGTTAGGTTTAGTTTAGAGATCAGGCAGCATAGAGTGAATTTGTGCTACAGAGGACTAGTAATAAAAGTATTAGCACGACAGGTTTACAACACACTGTACGGACGAAACTGAATGTAGTAAAAGGCTTAATTTTAACAATATTTCATTTCATTTCATTATTTTTTTGAGTTTTGCACAATTTCATGGATTTTCTTTCTGAACAAAAAATATACATATATATGTATTATTTTTATTATATATTTTTCTAATATCTTTTACTTCAGGTGCTTAGTTCAGGAGTTTTTCCTAATCTTCATGAACATAAACAGAAAATGAGCAGTTTTGCAGTATTATTAGTGGCTACATTTGTAATATAGATTATCATGATTATTGGTCAATATTTTCCTATGTAACTTTTACCCCGCCATTACTTCCTCTGCAGACTACAGATATTAACACATTTATACAAGTCATTCATATATACCACTTCTCATTTACGACAGCACTTGGACGCAGCACCAGCGCTCGTTCAATGAGTCTCTCCACGGTTGAAGGGAACTACAGATCCCATGATAACGATGCTAATCCCACAGGTTTTATTCACCTGAGGCACACAGGAGTAAACAGAGACGGTTGCTGCTGTGTGTGTCGGTTAAAGTGCGTCTTCCAGGCCGAGAACCGCGGCTCTGCTCACGGCCCGGAGTCTGTTCATTAGTCCGTCTATTTTTCTGTCTTTCACACTCACGTGAAACCCGCTGCAGCCTGTTGTAAAACACAAACACTCCGCGAACACACGGCTGCTGCGGGTTCGGTATCGGGCTCTACCGGTGCGGCTCGGTGTGAACAGCGAACGGTCGGTACCTGTGGAGCCGGTGACAGGCGCTGAAGCTCTGGACGCGGGTGATGTATCCGATCCGCTCCGCAGCTGATCCGGATCCGGCCATGGTCGCTGCCCGAGAAGAGGAGGAGGAGGAGGACGGGGAGTAACGAGCCGAGAGGCCGGATAGACTGGAGGGGAAGAAGAGCTGCCGTTTAAAGGTCCGGATCCCGTGACTCACGCTGCGCCGCCATTGGCTCAAATCAGGGCGGGAATACAACTCACATGTCACAGATGGTTATCAGAACCGCTCAGGCTGAGTGGGCTTAAGTAGCAGAATATCACAGAGCAGGACCAGAGACTTCAGAGAACATATTGTTGACACATTTCTCTCAAATTACTAGAAAACACTGGACCAGAAATTATATAATTTATTATAACAAAATAAATCTGGCCCATACTGGGGCAACATGCTTGTTTTCTTCTGGCCCAGTATTAACCCGACAAATTCTAATAATATGAGAATTAAAAATGTAAAATTTCAAGAAGTAAAAACACAACCCTGACCCTCAATGTGGCCATAAAACTCTGTGTTACGTCACTGCTGCAGTGTCTGTTCTCAGCTCTCATACGTCTCTGCTTGAATGAACAGGAGGTTCTAACTGATGTGATTGTGCAGCTTGTTGATAGTGTAATAAACTGTGATGAATGTGTGTTTGCTGAGAAGAGCAAACACTCACTAAAACTACAGTGTGTCGGCCTTTACAGCAAAGATGCTGGCGTCATGGAGAACAATCAACTGGTGCGACTGAAACAAACAGGGAGCAGGAGCCTGGAGCTACAAGGAGACTCTGGAGTCTGTGGGATGTGGAGGGCAGAGGACTGATGCCGTGTGACCGCTGGAGCAGCTCTGTTTTAAAATTGGCTGTAAATTGGATTTTGTGCTGAGAGCAAAGTAATTAAGAGCTGGAGCTGCTAAATGTCCATTATCTTGAGTTTGCAGACATAATTTACAATTACAATGTTTACTGGTGGCTACAAGCACGAATTTATACCTTTACTTAGATTTAAACTAATACATGTGAACACGAGTCGAATGGAATACAATATAAATACAAGTGAACAACTGAACACGGACAAATGGGTCAGATAAGAGCTCCACACTGTCGCCTACACATAAAATACTTCCCTGTAATGTCACTTTAAATGTTGGTGCGTGCAGACAGTGTGTGCACCATCATCATTTTTCTGAAACCCTGAACGTTTCCAGGATGTTTTTTGCACTGATGCGACACTTCCACGCTTCATTTGAGGCCTAATGTGACATCAGAAGGGGGGGGGGGGGTCCCCGAGGGGCCCTTCGCTCAGCCCAACTACCTGAAGTGCCACTCTGGTGTAACTTCAGGGTGAAAACAAATCTTTTATTTGTGCACATACACCGTTGTGAGACTATATGTACAAATCATGTGATCGTTTTAACTGTACAACAAAACCTTCGATGCATTTTAAGCTTCATAAGAATAAAAAAACATGTAAAACCTGCTGCACATAGAGCCTCATTATTCACATTCACACAACAAATACATTGTATTTATATACACATTACAGTCCAGATGTTTCAGTCCAGATGTTGCTTCATATGGATATTTATAACTGGCCTGACATAGTTTTGTTACATTGTTATTATTTTATGGCAAATAAAACAAATTTATGAAAAACACTCAGCACTGCTGTTAGTCTGAGGTTCACTGAGCACAAACACTGAAGTGAACATTATATACCTTCTATAAGAATGTATTAGATGCTGTAACTGAAGAACACAGAGACAAATGTCTCTAACCTCTGAGTGAAGCTTCTGTAGATGATCGGCTGAAAGAAAATGATTCACTTCTTTTACAGTGGAAAAAGCTTTAACTCTCAGTTCTTAAGTCTGATTCTTTGGTGAATCTGTGGTAAACATTTTCTTCCTTTGTCTCAGTGATGAGTCTGCTCTCTGATCTAATGAATGTAAAATACATCCTGACCCACTTAAATTCCCAACATTCCCAGTTTGGTGTATACCTCGCCAAATATCATTTCTGTTGACCCCGTCTCTCCTTCTCCACCCCTCTCACATCCCACTGTACAGTGTGTAGATACCCTGTTGTCTCCAAGTTCCCATTAAAAATCACACGACATGGGAACGTAAACATGCAGATGTTACCTGCAGGAAGATAATGCAGCTGCAGAGCAACAGTGGTGACTTCAAAAAGTCTAATTAACGAACTGACCCTCTGACTATAACTACAGTCCAAAATTGATTATATGTTGTCATGATTCAACAGGAAACACATCACATAACAACCATTAGGACAGCGCACACGCTGGACTACACACAGCTACTTCAGCATTAGCACAGAGACCCAGAGGTAGAGTCACCACCGTCAGTGTATTTACTGGAGTAAATCTGCACTAATATGTTGTCAGCACACCGTCCTGACGCCGAATAATTCAAAATGGAGGAAGCTCAGCTGTTTTATTTACGGTAACAGAGGCCTGGTTTTATGAGACAGTAATTAAATACATCAATGTGGCCGAGCTATCCTGCTAACCGACAGTTAGGAAGCTAGCTACCTCGGAGATTACTCTTGAATGGGGGAGTAAACAGTTTCCTAGCATGGTAACCATTAGCCTGCTAGCCACAGTGGTTCCAACTTGCCCTGGAGTCCCCACATCACCAAACCTCCATCGCTGCGCCTGTTTCTCCAGGATGACCTCTGCCTTTACCTGGGAAAACACACCCAGGTGTCATCTCAGCTCCTCCACGTCAGGTGGTGAAGTACCAGTGCTGGATTCAGAACTCACTCTCCTCCAGAATCTCCTCCATGGTCTCCCCGAGCGTCATCTCTCCATCGCTGCTGGACAGGCTCTTCCTGGTGAGGAAGTCCAGCCCTGCTGCATCGTAGCCCTTCAGCCCCTGACCTTTAACCCCTCCTAGTCCGATCACTCCACTCCGTCCATGCACAGCCACCTGAAGCAGGTGGGGGTGAACCGCGGAAGTGCCCCCCTCGTCGTAGGAGTCGCTCTGCCGAGAGCACCGGGGGCGACGCCCTCGAGTGCACTTCCACAGGTGCTTGAGAGGTGCGCCCCGAAAACAGCCCCTGATCTGGAAGTGGTTGGTGAACAGGAAAAGCTGCCAGCGCTTCTTCAGTTCTGCTTGGACCTAAATACAATGAAAGACGGTAATTACTACACCTGTCCCGAGTATCACACTATGGAGCAAGCAGTTGAAATTCAGAAACATTTTAAGCGCTTGAAGATCCGATCATCACTAAAGCGTGTGTCATGTAGAGATCCAATAATAATATTGACATTTAAGGTGTATTGATTGATTTCCAAGTGTCAATCATGCATTGAGCAACAAGCAAGAAAACATTCCACCTTAAAAGATGGCGGTAGCTGCTGGTAGCCTCTGAGCTGCTCAGAGAATTAAATGGTTAATTAGTATCTTTATCAGTCTGTTACACACGAAAGTGAGATGAAAGCTAGCTTAGCTACGTTTTCATAGCCTAGCCTGTTAGCTTAGCTTGACCTCTGCCTGCCCTGCAGCTTCTCCTCTGAACAGATGTTTCCAATGTGTCTGTGTTTGCTGGACACGAGTCAGTAAATGAAATCATTCAAAACACAAACTACTTGTGTTTGTTCACCTGCTGCTTGATGCTACGCCAAACACATCCGTCTCTTTAGCTGCTGAATGCTCCACTGTGTGTCTGTGTGGTGCAGGTGGTGTAAGACTGGCTTATGTGAACATAAACAAACTGCTTCCTGCAGGAAACAAGTGAGTGGAGTTATGATCTGAAACCAGAGCGATGAGGTAAGAAGCTAAAACCCAATACATTAATAGATCATCAATGAAATTCACAGCACATAGAAGAAGACACGTACCTCTCCATTAGCAAAACAGTACAGCACAGCAACCAGGAACCCCTAAAAAACAAAAGAGGTTCCACATTATGAATCAGGGTTGATGTGGATCCCAGGTAGTCCGCATGATTAACTCTACAGGTGTTACCTGGAAGGAGCTGAGGGTCAGGTTGATGAAGTTCCTGGCGTAGCGACTGCTGCCCTCCACACATTCGTCTATCAGCACAGTGAAGACCACTTCATGGATTCCCAGCAGAGGAATCAGGACCAGTGTGGCTCGGGCCAAGCTGAGGGGCATCGACACAAACACACAGCGGTGCAATAATGAACTGAGAGCGAAGAAGATTTTATTTTGGCACACGATTCAAAGAGCAGAGGAGTAAAAGGGGCCGGAGCTTATGGGGGTGACATTTTAAATGGTGCTGTACTTGGGAGTGATTAACATTTAAAATGTTGAAGCAGGAACTGCACCGTGTAAAGACATCACTTAGGAAATACTAGCTCTCAAGGTCAGACGTGTTTCCTGACATTTGGATTTGGACGTCGGTGAGTGAAAGCGACAGAGAATACCTGTATCTGTAGTCTGTAAATTTCACCAGGTCAGCTTTCAGCTTGGACAGCAGCAGCATCAGGATCTTGATGAATATGCAGAAAATCACCTGCGACACACCAATTAATTATTCAGATTAAGATTCAATTCACATGAAAACGCACATCTGAGACTCATCAGTGTGTCTGTGCGCAGAGGAATCAGTCACGCCGTGTGACGTGTGACCACTTCACTGTTCACTGTCACATGTCCTCACAAGACAGGAGCTGTTAAACACAGTGTGAAATCAGAGTAAAGTGACTCGAGGAACTGATGTATCTGTAATTAATGTGGACTGTGACTTCACTTACGAGCACTGACAGAGTGATCGGGCCCCGTATGATCCACCAGAACCATCTGTTCACGATCGACCAGCATCTTAGGCAAAAAGACGAGTTTTCAAAGTTACATTTAAATGAATTCATTAGATTAAAGTAGAGTATGTAATAAAATACTCACTCTGTGTTTTCATATATAATCTTGACCACAGTCCACGGAGTCACAAACAACACAGGAGTTCCTGAAAAGTCAAGAAAACACAAGATGTAGAGTTAAATAAATTATGTTAAATAATAAATCCCATCGACAATGAGCCTCAACTGTTCGTTTGTAGTTAGTCGATTATTCTCGAAGTGGAAACAGACACTTTTCCACTTTTTGCTGCCCAGTGTTTCCAAGTGGTATCACTGCAGGTGCTGCTGTCACAAAGACCGGATCGGGACATGGCTAACGCCGGGAACCCGGCAGCTGCAGAACGAACGTCGTGGGTTTCCATTTCGGTGCCCGTGTTAACAGGTACGAACACAAACAAAACAGTTTTGCCTTAAAGTCAGTTAGTATGGAGTCGTAGGAGGAACAGATAGGAACAGGAATAAATGTAAAATGCTGTAGTGGGAGCTTAAAACACAAACAGGAAGTTGATGGAGACGTGTGCAGCGTGAATGTGGTTGAGGTTTGAATCAGGGAGGGAACCGTAAGGGAACAGAGTGAAGATGGAGTAAAGGAGTTACGACTTGCTCAGTATCTGGAGGAAATTTGTTTTGAGGGTGGTGGGTGAGTCTGTGCTGACATTATTTATTCTTTTATTCATTCCTGTTTATATTGCCACATTTACTTTCTTATTCTTTCACAGATTTATTCTTTTCATTATTCCCTATGACTCCATAAGTTAGTTAAATGTTATGTGTGCACACACAACTTACCCCATCCTAACAGCATGTACTTCTTCAGCAGTCGTCTCTTGGTCAGCACAGCAGTGAAGAGCAGCGTGTGGAGGAAGATGGCCTCCACCAGGAGCCAGAAGTAGTTACAGGCCACAAAGTACTCCATGCACACTTTGGAGAACTTACACATCAGCGCCATCTGTGGAGGAACCATCCATCCATCCATCAGGAACATATTGGGGACAAATTAGTCCAGCAAATCATTAGTCCGATTCAAACTGTAAGTGATAATGTAAACAATGAGGCAGTGATGTTGATGTTTATACCGCAGAGCTGGAGTAGGAGTTCCACCCCGGGTCATCCTTGGGCAGGTTGGAGTACATGACATATAATATGATTTCCTTGGAGATGACGGCCATGGCTCTCAAGATGAACGACACAAACAGGTTCATGTGGATGTAGTTCCTGGTGCAGTGGAGCTTCCTGGTAAACAGACACCGGATCGGTTGGAGGAAGGCATCGATCTACACTTCCTGTGAACGCATTACTGAGGTCGAATGATCAGTGCACTGTGTGTGTGTGTGTGTGTGTGCATGCTTCATTCGGGTTTTATAATGTTGTTTACAATGACTGATCACTCCGCCCGTCTCTCTGTCTCTCTCTCGCCATCATCATCTGCTTGTGTTTCTAGACCCTACTGGAATGTTCCCAGTGTTCCCAGTTCTTAGCAGTGACTATGCAAAAGGTACAGAAAGTTGCAATAAACCACATTGTCCTCAGAGACGCCTCTGCCCCCCCGACACTGACCTCAACATGCCCATCAGCAGAGTGGCCAGTGTGAGGGAGGTCAGCGACAGGGAGTAGCCGATGACAGAGATGAGCCTGAGGGCTGTCTGTCGAAGCATTTCATCCTCCTGAACACACACACACACACACACACACACACACACACACACACACACACACACACACACACAGAAATGGATGAAGAGATCACAACATCTCCTCAGATCTTTCAGAAAGAGACAGACGTTCTGCATGTCTCCCAGTGTCCTCCTCACCTCGTCTTTAAAGAACTGGTCCTCCTGACACTCGGAGTCGTCTCGCCACGGCTCAGAGGAGTTCCCCCTCTGACGCCATCTCCCGTTTTCTAAACATTCTCTGTGCGCCCTCCTGGAGCCGTCTGCAGGTAAATGAGAGAAACGGTGACGTTCGTTCATTTTAACCTGTGCTAGGGAGGTTAAAATGAAAACAATATGCCTCCGGCTCTGGCTGTTGCCGGCGTGGAGGCATATTGTTTTCGGGTTGTCCGTCCATCCGTTTCTCAGGAAAACTTCTTCAAATTCGGCAAAAACATTCACCAGGACTCAAAGATGAACTGATGAGATTTTGGTGGTCAAAAAGTCAAAGGTCCCCTGTGACCTCACTATGACACAATTTCACTCAAATGTCTATTGCGATAAAATGATGCAGTGATGATATTTTACATTCAAAAGGTCAAAGGTCAGCCTCACTGTGACATCATAATGTTCCGTAAAAACACTTGTGATCATTATTCAAGGCTGTAACTCAGGAAGAAGAGACTGTGACCACGTGTCCTGCTACTTTTGATTGGTGGAGGAAACAGCCATGAGGACGTGATTCTAGTTTTACATTATTATACAGTTAAACCCCAAATTGAGAAAGTACAGCTACTTTAATACCCAGAGAAAATGAAGAAAGAAAATTTCATTTTCAGTTATGTGCATGTCTTTTCTGAAGGCTCCTGAAAAACCCTTTAGAGATGCAGAGTAGATATTTTTCTATTTAAACCATGATAGTTTCATTAAGTGTTTAACTCCACCGTTAAACTCCTGATCCTGTGACTTCACTACTGAAGAATCTGTCCTGTGATTCACTCAGTTACTGATTCACTTGAAGTGAATGCAGTGACAAAGAAAAAGGCTGAGTAACCTTATACACGAGTTAAAACACAACATTACCCTCACTGATCCACGGCAGGTACGAGGGACAGGGGACCGACACGTTCCCAGGGGACGAGTGGGGCCAACACACAAACGTGTCAAATGTTCCTCTGCAGTAGTTTCCTGCAACAGGAAGTCAAGTCTGAGGGTTTCATCAAGGTAACGATGGAAGTAGATACAGCTAGATAAAACTTAAGTCAGGAGGCTCACCAGTTTTTGAGAGTCCAGCAGCTGCCAGAGTTCTGTTGCAGGTCTCCCAGTACTCGGTCCGTTTGGCGATCAGACTTTCCAGCACCGAGCAGCTCACCTTCAGGAAGAGAGGAGAGTTCTCTATAATGTCTGACTAATGTTATTCTGGCACATAGAGAATTAAAAATAAAAAAAAATCAATCAGTCAACAAAGCACTCAATCAGTCTTTTGACTAATATATAGCATAAATAATAAGGTCCAAAAGAATGGGAAACTAGCTCAGGCTGACTTAAAGCCAGTGGGCCATACGCCCAGCCAGCAAGCTAACCGCCTCTCCTTGGCATTAGCATTAGCTAGCAGCTAGCTTGCTGGCATTGTACATTGATGAGTGAATTAAACCATTCCAACATAAGTCTGCAAAATAACAAAATGTAAAACAAAGTGACTGAGTACTTTCTAAATACACTGTATGTCTAACTGATTTAGTGACCTCTTTTTGTATCGTGTGTTTGCATGATGATTTTTATTTATTCTTTCTGAATAAACATCTTTTCTAAAACATGCCACTGAGTCTAACGTCACATTTTATGACTTGAGAACAAAGTTTCAGTGTTTGTTCACAGAACCTGCAGCATCTGTGTTTAGCCACTTGGTGGGAGTATTTAACCAGGACCACCTGGTGTTGCCGGGGGAACATGTTCACCTGTGTGCAATCTGTAATTGATGCAGGTGATTTATCAGCCAGGCTTTATGCATCAGTGTCACGGCTGCAGCAACGCAAACACACACCACTGTTTATTTAAGGGTTATGATATGAGGGTGACAGCTATTTTACTAATTAATGCTCAGTTATAAATTATGATTCTTCCCTAATTTGCTGTCATTAGTGAGACAGATGAGCATTTCCTTTATTTGAGGAGCAAACTGCAGCCGACAGCCGCCTCCTCTGCTCTTTATGATTCAGGCTAGGAGGTGAAGACGGTGAGGTGAAGTCTCCAGCCTCTTTGTGTCTGTTCGGCCGGGCCACCTGTGCCACAGAGATTCCTCATGGTTGACAGAGGAACGTCTCACCTCACTGGGGCTCATCTCTTCGAGATGAGTCCAGAGCGGTGTCACCGCTGAGGGGGAGACAGGAGCTGCTGCCTCCCTGTCGTCTCTGTTGTCTCCCATGGGACCAAACCTGCTTCACATCCAGCAGCGGGGTCTTCACTTCCTGAATAATTTCAGGTTTCATAATCTTGAAGATGAAAGTGAATACTGCACAAAGACTGCTCTCTGATGTTATTTGTTTTATGTATATTTAAATGTTTTCTGCTTTTTTTTCTTTCATCCCTGGAGAAAAACATCCATCTCATTTGATTCTCAACACAGATACAGAGTTGTTTTTAAAGCCTGTCACTAAACCGGTGGAAGAGGATGAACAGAAAATGCATATGAGCAGCGGGACCTCCTGTAGGCCAACTACATATGAAAAAACACTCATTTAAGATTTTAAAAATCTGCTTCATGTCAGGTTTGTTGCTGTGAGAGATAAGACATGTAATCTGGCCTCATACAGTGAATCAGATGGGAGGATACCCCTGTGAAGAATCACAGTAACACACTAAATATGGAGGGAATTTGAACATGTAGTCTAAGCTCCCGGTTTGACTCAGTAAAGACTGAGCGTTAGTGAACTGAAAGGCCTCAGTATTCATTTACCTGGTGGCTGAAGATAATGAAGAGGAGTGTGGTCCAGGTCCTCTTGTGCCAGCTCGGCAGCAGGGTTGGCATGGTGCTGTGTGTTTACATTGAAAGCGTTTCCCAGCTTGTTTCCCCCCTCATAGCTCACCCCCGGACTCGCCAGGCCTCACACTCATCCCTCCTTTCTGTCTCCGGACCTCCTCGCCTCGCCAGGTACAGCGACCTCCTCTCAGGTAGCTCCAGAAAGATTTATTCAGAATTTAATGGATGAATTTGGAAGAACAGGAAGAGTTCCTCTCCAGTGTGTGATACGCGCTGTAGTTTGGGTCCTATGGTTTCCCCAGTTTTCCTTATAAGTCCCCAAATCTTCTCGATTGTTTCCAATAATCTTCAGCTGCTTTATCTTAATCTTTAACTTCTCAAAAAGTTGCCTCATCTCACGCGTTATCCTTGGTGAAGAGGTCCTCGTCTGCAGCACCGGTGTTACTGTCCATTAAGACATCTGTTCAGGAGGTGGATCAGTCTGTGCTCCCTACAGACACAGTGCAGCTCGGAGCGTCTGTGGATCCTCAGCAGCAGATCGCCTCTCCCACCCCGTCCTTCCCCAACCAATCAAGATAAGGCCTGGGGAGAGCCGGCCACAGAACTGGACTAACTTTGTTGTGAAGGAAACTGATCAGACAGGAACAAACGGGCACTAATCTATCAATACCCCACACACACACACACACACACACACACACATATATATATATATATATATATATATCGATAAAATAATAATATACTCACACACACCACCTGTACTGGAGGCAGAGAGGGAGACCCTGACTCCTCCCCTCTAGCTCTCACACACTAACTGGGCATCACCCAGTATCTCTGACACTAATGGGGATCTAGTGTAAACTAACAGTACTGAAGCCAAACACAGGCAAGTAAATGGGAGAGGAGAGCCAAGGTTGTGTGCACCACCTCGTGCCCTGTATCAGCCTGTCTCACTACACATCTCAAGCAAATACATTCGAGAGTATCTTAGCAAAGAGCAGACGTGTGGGAAGGTTTTTGTTGCTATAGTTGAATTAACTCTAAAACAAGTTTATTACAGCTGAATTAATTAATTTCTTGGCCACTAAGAGGCAGCAGAACAAGCTCACAGAAACCCCTTATATCATATGATATATCACAAGTGTTATGGAAGTTCACACTTCACAAGAGCGAGCTCAAAGTTCATTTCACAAATGTTAAAATGAACTAATTCATGTTCATAGTTCACAATTTTGAATTTGAACTAAGTTCACAGTCCAAAAAAAAGGAACTAGTTCATTCAACAAGTTCATTTATTGTTTTGTTTTTTTAAATCTTTTTCAGTAGAACCTCCTCCATCCATCCTCAGCCTCAAATCACTGCCACCTCTCAAACTACATGAATTACTGTTTACTACTATAGAGTCACAGATCACTTCTAAAAGATAAGTCTATGTTTTATGTGAAGACTGGTCAGATGCTTCAGCTCCATGTGTCGTCACTGATGTGTCTATGTGTTTATTCAGACACAACAGTGAGATTTTTTTTTCTGTTGAATTCGGAATTGATTTGTTCATAAAGGTCTTCCAATGTTCATATGAACTGACTTCGTACATAAAAAAGCATAAAAAAATTCATAGATAAAAAAATCATATGGACGTTAACAAGGTTAAACACTTTAACATTACACATTACCAGCTGATTCAGTGTCAATATGAACATTTTTGATTGGTGCAGCTTTAAATCAGATTTACAGTAGAGTTCTATAATGGGAAAAACAACAGGAGCCAATATTCACACATTAAATATCTTAAACTCCATATTACTCCTCAGAATTACCTCTATTTTCAAATCTCAGTGATGCATTAAGCAGAATTTTACTTGTTTTTGTTGCTTTCAAACGTCCTTGTGTTGTGGATGTGACAGAATCCACTGCAGAGAAAATATATGAAATATTATTATGTTTCAGGACCTCATGCTGCAGTAGCCATGCCATTATCTGTGACTGTGATGTACGAAGAGGCAGCGAAATCCAATTGTTCCAGCTCCATAAGCACGAAAATATACAGCCGTGACAGGGCCATACGTCCACATAACTAACAGACAGCTGGGACGAGGTTTAAAGCGGAGGGAGAATACATAGATCAAAAAATTTCATTGTGATTTGAGAAGATTTAAATGGTGCTAAAGCAGTTTGAGGCAGACGTGGCCTCGGGGTGCTGGTATGGAGGGATACTCATTTAAAGCTGAAGGGAAGAGACTGAAGAGGCTGCGGAGGAGGTAATGTCGGAGTTCAAGTGTTCCCATTTGAAACCCACAGAATGGTTTTTAATGGTCCAAACCTCTCCCATGGTTCATGCTCTGTTAGGAAAGATTATATCCATCAGAGCAGGAGCAGATGTAAACACAAAGGTCCGGAGCTCAGTCAGAGCAGTGTTTCATCCGTTGGCTTTAAAGCTGCACTAACCAGGGTTTCAGATTAACAGAGGACTGAAAGGTTTGTGACAAACCCACAGATTATTATCACCTGCAGTTCCCCCTCAGCTCTACAGAGCATTTTAGCATCTTTCAGCTCAATGTTTTGGTTTTACTGCCCTTTCAAGTGGATAAAGGTCAGAAAAATTTACTTTATGCCTCCTGTTTAGCACCAAGTGCCAGCTAGCAACTAGCTGGTGAAACATTGTGGGGCATTTTGCTGCTAAATGAGATGTTTGTCTCAGCCGTTGCTAGGGTTGCCACCTGCTAGGGGGCAAGGTAAACTTTCGTATTTCTGCTACCAATCAAATTAAAGTATGGGCATGGTTATTGGCCAATCTTAACTGTTGTACTTGTTTTCACACGTTTACTGACACAGGATTGGACATAACCAGGAGGAAAACAGAAAAAAAACAGTAGAGGGAAACAAATGAGGTTTTATTTGAAACAATTCATGTCCCAGGAAAGAATATTAATATTTAGATTTTACATAAATTTGCTAAAAGAAAAAAAAAAAAAAGAGAGAACAATCCCGGGAAAACCAGGTCAGGTGGCAACCCTCGATGTTAGTGGAGACCAAAGCAGAGCTAAAGTTTACCTGGTGGAAAGACACACAACTCCAGATAAAAGCTATTGTTGCTCTATAAATGCTGGATGTGGGAAAAGGCAACTGTTCACACACACATTAGCCATGATAACTCTGAGATGATGATCTGCTCTGCTGCCTCCCAGTGGACAAAAATATAACACTGCTTTAAAAAGGAGCTATTTGTAAGTTGTTGCTATTACTACATAGCTAACGTTAGCATTAGTAGCTGTTTACGTAACGTTGCGAGTTCAGCATCAAACTTCATTCCTTTACTCACCAACAGCTGTCTCCAGAGGTGGAAGACAAACACCAATCTTAACTCTTGTCTTTATCATGTCCTTTCTTCTACTGAAGTTAGCATGCTAATTAGCCAACCCCCGGCCTGATTCGTCACTTCCTGATAGTAACTTACTGTAGCCTCCAGTCTGCTCTGAAGAAGTATGTGCTCAGAGGACGTATTTTAACCTCTTATATTACAAAGACAACGATGACTGAAGTTGTTGTCAAGAGACAATCACCACCACCTGCTGCTGACAAGAAACCACAAACCACCACCAACCACCTCAGCAGCAGAGATTTCTGCCTAAAGTCTACTGCTTGTTTGCTATTAAACATTTCACTGTGCATCAGAAATGTAAATGCAAATACAAAAATTCAAAGAAAGTGCATAAATAGTAACGTGACAAACAAAACTAAGGGTCATAATAACCTGCCGCACAGAAGCCCTTGGTGCTTTACCCGCACCCCGGGCAAAACACAACCAGCCTCCACTGCTGATGACAAACAGTGGTTGGACACGTGATGAAACAATTCAGTCAACTCAATGATGCCATCTTGAGTACATCGGGCTAGACAGTGACTGTGTGGGTCAGACAATGACAAAGTTCAGTATTTCTCCTCAATACAGCACCTATAAACAACATAAATCTTCTCATAAAAACAGTGACTGTAGTAAAAAGGAAGATGTTCTGGCAAGATGCCCTGGACAAGGTGTTCTGTCATTAAAAGAAGAAGGAAGAATAAACATCTCCTTTCATTTTAAACCAGCTGAGTTGAAGTGACTGCACACTCTGTGGAAAAAGCCTGGGTCACACAAATATTAACACTGTAATAACCTCTGTGTGACATGCAAAACATGCTGTATAGTCTCATACATTGCTGTGACATAAATCTATACAGGTAGTAACTCTTACATTTACCTTATACAGTATAGATGTGCACACACACAATACATGCGGATTCTGGACTGGGGAGGTGCCAGCTGGACTCTGATCCCGCTGCATGTGTTTCATACCAAACAGTTTTTAATTCTCAAGTGTTTTCCCACAATATCTGGGTGAGGATGTATGTATACAGTACATGACTATCACCAGAGATAAACACATGGCAACAGAACGTGA